TTCGTGTCGTCGAGTAGATCGATTTCATATATTTACACCCTAGGTTTGAGCAAACTATGGGGGTTTTATTTAGGTTTCCGTTATGTGCTTTAATTAATGTTATTTAGTTATTTCACATATAGGAGAAACTTATTCCGAGGATTTTCGAGGCCAAGCTAGGCTCGAGGGCTACGACCCAGCGACGTACTTGTGAGTGGGCAGTTGTTTTATACCTATATATATTTATAGTTTCCATAAATGCGTATTTACTTCACTTTTACGCCTAACTTGCCTAGTATCATTATTGTGATATAAATTGTGATAAATGCTGCTATATGGTTGTGATATTACTGTCATGGCATTCATACGTACTTGTGTACATGCTCATCTTACTGCACCCGATGCTAGTACTCGCCCCAGGGCCAGGGCCAGTCCTTCACGTGTATGTTCACATCCGCACCGTTCGCTCACCTTGGATCCAAGTTTAGGTGCCAGTCTTGTCGGGTAGATTGCATTAGGCGATCCGACTTGTATGTGATGTGCTTTTGCACCAGTCTTCACGTGATCGTAGTACTATAGCATATTAATTACACTCAGTCATGTTCGTGTCAGAAACCATCTGTTCCAACTTGTGTGTCAGCTTAGATGGATGAGCACTTAGTTATATTGATTATCACATGATTATTATTGTGGCATATGATGCATCATTTACTTTGCATATTTCTAGTTATATGGCTGATATATTGGATTTCATACTTACGTAGTATGTTTTGAGGAAACTATACTTGTTTTATGGCGAAGGGTTAGTATATTCAAAGATAAAGGCTTTCTTATAAGCCTTGTTTTGCTGACCCACTCAACTTTGTTTTTCGCCCCTCCAGGACCTAGATATCTGTACTCTCTGTGGTACTCGAGGAATCACGGCAGTTATGACATTTCCTTCTGTTTAGACGTACGAACTTATCACTATTATGTAATAAGTGTACTTTGGTTGCTTTGACTACTCTTTCGTAGTCTCCCTGTCTATTACGCTCTGAATAATTGTAGTGGGTTCAACCCACGAATTGCGCACTCTTTCACTGTTTAGTTCTAATTAGTTTTAATTTTATCCACTTTTTGCATCACTTACCCTTATGGTTACGTCACCTCACGGTGACAGCCAGCATGCTTCGACCCTTCCAGGTCGGGGTGTGTCATCAAACATTTTGATTTAATAAATGGATAAAAAAACTATGTAAAAATAAGAAATAATAAATGGCAAAAGAATGTATCCATAGTGTTAAAAAAATTGGTACATTTTACAAAAAAATAGGTACATTTCACATATAACAAAGTGGTACATTAATAAAGAAGAATGTGTACATTATAAATAAATTAGGGTACAGATAAAAGATTAAAAAAATTATGAGTACAAATGAATTTTTTTTAAATATAGGTGCTAAAAGAAATTAATACATGGGTACAAAATAAAACTAAAAAGAAAATACTACAAATTTTAAATAAAATGTTGCAAATTAAAAGTGGATACAAACTAAAAATATAAATATATGATATAAAGTTTAGGCATAAAACATAAATATACCATATGTAATTTTTCTATCATTGATTAAATATACAATGTCACATGACGGTATACACATGAGTACAAACACAAATAAAACTTTAAAAAATTGGGCACAAAAAGAAACTAATATATGGGTACAAATTAAAAATGAAAAGAAAATTGGTACAAATTAAAAAATATTTGCAAATTAAAAATAGGTACAAACTAAAAATAAAAATATATGATAAAAAATTTAGCCATAAAAATATTTAAAATTAATTAATATATTTTATTATTCAAATAATAAAAATATTTTAACACTAAATGAATATATTTAAAAATAAAAATATTTTATTAATCAAATAATTAATGATGTTATTAATACCCAATGACCTTGATCAAAAATTGAAAATGAATAGGATTTTAATCAATGGAGTAACAAAAAGAAGGTTGTGAACCTAATTTTTCTTTTTTTTTAAGTATAAATATGCACTTATTTATACCATATATAATAAATTTACTTAAAACTACCTAGGCTCCGCCTAGCTGCCTAGGCGCCGCCTAGCTGCCTAGGCGTTATGCCCCAGCCCGCCATCTGACTAACGTTTGGCTTCTTTTATAACCTTGATTTTTAAAAATAAAATTGGATCTCTTGAGTTGTTTAGAATTTAATTAGATTATTATACACCCTTGAATTATAATCAAACATTTAGGGTGTAGAAACCAAAATTGCTAAGGAGAAGAGAGGAGGTGCCACTAGATTGGCTCAACTTGATGGAGCTAAAAAGATGCATCCAACTTACTGAAGTTTGAGGGAAAAGGAAGTTGGTTTCTCTTAGTTCACGAGAATTATGAAAATTTGAAGGCTGATTACTTCGTATTATATATTGGGATGGCAATTTTTCCCACGAGTTTGGGTTCCTGCAGACTTCGTCCTTAATGGGTCGGGTATGAATAGAGGTAGATTTTTTTTTTATCAAATTACCATGTTAACCGAATTGCCAACTGTACTATATTGATTTTGTGTCAAATTTTTTGTGTCACTCAGTAATGGCACGGTAGTGTACCGAATTGAAGTTTTCTGGTATGATATTGATATTCGATATCACGGTATTACTGTACCATACCGAAAATATATTTAGTGTTTAGTACATGAAATATATATGAGTGTCAATTACATGAGAATATGCTGGGATTTGTGTTGGTGTGCTATTGCCTGTGATTTTTACTATATGGTTGTTGCCTGCAGTTTTTTACTGTCAGTGCTTGCTACCTACTTGCTTCAAGTATGATTAAATCATTTGAAAGGTATGTATTAGTCACAGAGTTATATGATTGTGCAAGTAAAATATGAGATAAGGGCGTAAAAATTGAAAAAAGTGGGTCTTGAATTGAGTTGAGAAAAAAAAAGAAAAAAGATTTTGGCCAAAACAAGTCGTTCAAAATAAAGTGGTAATTATTATTACCATATCATATCAACCGAACTATTTAGCATACCAAACTTCGATATTACTGAAAGTTTGGCACGGTAATAGTAATCAATTTTACAATGTTAAAATTTTAGCATGGTGTTGGGGAGAAGGTGGGGATGGTACTTAAGCCTTTGATCGGAACGCTCCCGGTATATATTAATTACTAATTTTATATAAATTCATATAGGGAATTGTTATTAGCATTCCAAAATTTTCATTCTACACCTCAAACTTTCTATATTAGAAAGGAAAAATACACTTGTGAGAAATGTAGAATGAAATTTTTGGAGTACCAATAACACTTCCCTTCATATAAATATACTATATATGTATGTTTTAAAAAGAAAAAAAAATTATATGACAGAGTGGCTTGCTTCCTCTAGTTACATTAATTAATTTGGAACTTTTATCTTTTTCTTGGATTGAAATCATATTTATAATTCCTTTGATTTGTGAACTTAAAACATAAAATCAGTTTTTTGATAGGTATTATTTTTTTAAATTGTCATATTATTAGTTGAAGAAAATATATATTTTTGTAATGGGGCGGGCGGGAACCCATTCTGCTGTACAGCAGAAAGTTACTACCTTCCTCTAATATGGGCAGAAAATTATATAGGGTTTTAACGAAAAGCTCGCGGTACTGTTTACTTTAACAAAAAATCACATTTTTACACTAAAAAGTCAAATCTGGTACTATTCATTTTACCCTTTGTTTTGTCCTTATCGTTAAAACTCAAAGTTTTCAAATTCTTTTTATTAGTTTTCCTAAAATTATAAGGTAGATTTTCCTTTTATAACGAATTAGATAAATGGAAAGGGAAAAGGCACTGGGGAAGACGAGAGATTTTTCTAATTATTCGGGTTATTCAAGTCCGTATTTTATGTGTCATAATAGAATGAAAAGATGCCAACTTAAATATCCGGTACTTGAAAAAAAAAATCTGAAAAAAAACCCACTTTAGCAACTTTGCATTAATTAATTAATTTATTTTATTGTACTTTTTTTTTAAGGAAAACTAATGAAAATGGTTTGAAAACTTTGAGTTTTAACGAAAATGACAAAAATGTGTTGTAAGTGAATAATATCATGATTAACTTTTTAAAGTAAAAATGTGGTTTTTCTTTAAAATGAACCACCGGAGCTTTTCGTTAAAGCTCCTTTTTTTTTTTTTTTTACCAAGGCACTAATTATGTCTGATAAATATCACTTTACTTAGTGACATTACTCACAATACAACAGAGGATTGAATACTCTATAAAATTGAACATTCAGGTACTAAAAAGATAATTTCATACAGCTACAAATTAAGGCATTAAATACTACGGAGCATTGTAGCCACACCCGATTTTAAGAGATGATAACAAACTTACAACTTCAAATACAGAGGTAATGCTCAAATCGATTGTGCTAAAAGCTGCTTTTGCAATTACTTTACCTATCTTCAAGAACATACACATGTAGCTGCATTGGATTCTATATTGCAATATACTATGTAGTGTTGGACCAAAACAATTGGGAAGGTGACCACTTTGTCTTTAATGTTCTATCAATTAAATAATGCAGTGTCTAGTTTCTCTTTAGTGGAAACTTTACAAGCAGATATTAAAACCAGAATTTTGCTTCTGTGAGCACATACATATTTATTAAGTGCCGCCAAAGTAGCTACCAGAAGAAAGAACTCAACCGACAACCAAACCAGTTGAAGAGAGAATTAAGAGCTTTCTTTCCACAGTGCCTTCACGTGAGATTTGGGACTACAAGTAGTAAAAATCTTGTTTACTTCCCAACTGTGTCTAAATTTACTCAGCCTAAACTTCCTATCTCCTTACCTGTTTGCAAATTAATTGGAAAGTTTATTTAATGCCATTTCCCAAAATCACCTACCAAAGATTGTAAGTTTTCATGGGTTATAATGCAACACGCGTAATCTCAGAAGTAGTACCGGTAGCGGCACTTATACATAATCTCAGAAGTTTATATATAAATCAATCGCAAATAGGACTTAGTACGCATGTGATGTGATTTTATTTCTTCCAGCGTCACTTATTCTTTCTCTACTTTGTAGGAAGGGGTCTCATAGAGAGTTAAGAAGACATACATAAACTTAAATATCCATTATCTACTTTAGATTTAACTGTTACATTATGTAAAAGTAGGATCTGCAATCTGATAACCAGCTCTCCAAAAGTTTCTTAATGAAGGAGATTATGAAAATAACAAGAAATGAAGGCCCCTTGAGTTGAAAATATGAAGAGTATCAAGGCTTATGTTTCTGTGTGTAGATGTAGTCCAAGTGAGCTTCAGCCATTATCCTTGTCTTTGAACAGTCCACATCTTCATCATCACAGTCCTCCACCCCCATAAGCTGCTACAATATAATAACATATCCCAACAAAAAAACAGTGTCAGACATTTATAGTTTCTACTTGAGGAATACCTCTAGCTAGGGTTGAAAAAAGGAACAAGAAGAAGAAGAAAAAGAAAAGAACCTAAACTTACATCCAGTAGTTCAGTGCCTTCCAGTCCTACAAGTGAATCCCCATTAGCCATTTCATTGAGTAGCCCCTTCTCTTGTCCTGTAGAGATGCTGAAGATTTATATATTGCTTAAAAGAAGGGAAGTTAATGAATAATAACTTCTCTTTGTTTAAATTAACAGGAAGAAGAATTTGAATTTCAGATCTTTTTCATTGATGTAATGAATTACACTTACTAAACGAATAGCTATTTGGTGAACAATATTACTAAACTAATAGCTAGTTGGTGTAATGGCACAAATGTTTTACCTTCTTTATTCGCTAAGAGACGGATCGATACTGTTGAGGAGAAAAGAATGAAAAATATGCAGAGAACAAGAACAGCTCCTGATTTGAAGATTTGCTTCATGGCTTCGAATTCAAATATTAGAGAGAGAGAGAGAGAGCGAGAGAGAGAGAGAGAGAGATGAGCTTAAAGATTTGGAACTTGAGGTGGTAGAAGAAGGAAGAAGAGGATGGAGATAAATATACATGCAAAAAGAAAGCAGCAGGCACTCACTCAGCTTCTGTAAGTCAAATAAGTCACATGAAGGACCCCATCTAAACAAGGCCTGCAGTTGCAACACCTCTCCGCTCCACTAAGGTGGGGCCAACCAGCACCATGCTTTTGTGTGACAACACCTCCCCTCTCCACTACTTTGGTATATGATACATCATATGTATATGTGTGTGTGTGAGAGGGCTTTGCTGCTGGTTTGGTCATTGTCTATCCATATGTTTGTCTGCCATATAATGGTCCAAAAGAGCCCAAAGACACTAAAAAAATCAATGTTATATCGTGGTTGACAGTGTCCACAAGTCAACCTTTTGGTCAAGTTGACAGCTGCTGCCCATCATTACTAAATTTTATGTAAGGACTTGTATAGACATAACATGATACACACACACTACAGTAATGTTATGTGTGAAAGAAATGAAAATGTATGTTCTTATTTAATTGGCGTAGGAAGACAGATGATATTGTATTGTGCAAGTCGTTCTCATTTTTCGTGTTGTCTGGTTATATGCTATATGAAGATGAAATGACTTCTTACTAAAAATCCAATGCCTTAAAAGTGCCCCACATCACATATATATATTTAGTGGCATCAGTGATCAGACCATTCCTATATTTCTACCGAGTTTCTATGCTATTTAAACCAATCCCTAGCATATATTTATTGATGATATATGTGCTAGCGCACAATTTGATCACAACTTCGTTTAGTGAGCTCTAAATATTTTATTTCGCCTAAGATAAGATGTCTATGTTGACTATGTGATTCATATTCACAACCAAACAATTAGGGCATTAATCAAGTTAATTTTATAATTTAGTCGACAACATAAGTATATTTATCCACAACATAAGCATATTTTTAGGAACATAATAATTCTATTACAACTTAAGTCTAACAAGAAATCATTGCTCTATAAAATAATTATATATATATATATATGTATGTATGTATGTATGTATGTATAAATCTATGTCTTTAATCTTGTTGATTATGCAATTTTGATATAAATTATATTTGGGACCGTAATCATTTGTATAGTTTAACAACAAACTATGTGAGCAAATATTAGGGTTTTCATGTACTTATAATTCTACGCATATGTCTAAATTTGATTAAAAAATAAAAAAAAATCAATGTCCTAGAATATAGAACAATTCCAATCTATATGCATGTGGATATTTTGAACAATTTGAACCGTGTGTATCTTTTTTTTATTTTTTTATTTTTTTTATTTTTAAACAGGGAACCAGCTAACAGCTTCGCTACATTAGTCCACTTTTACGATGATCAAGAAAACTCATAAAGATATTTTAACATCCTCAACCGCTATTGTGTTACTCACCAGCACCTGAGAGAGCCATATGTCTTGATTCTTCTTAATAAAGAAAGAAAAACTAATGAAAATGGCTTGAAAAGTTTTAGTTTTAATCAAAAACTATGTTATAAGTTTAATGATTAGTACAAGACCCATATTAAAGTAGTCAAACTAAAAATGACCTAACTATAATAAATTATGATTTGTCGATTTTACCCCTAAATTTTTTAGGCTAAGTTCCAGATTTTCATCGTTAATGGAGTTCATCGTTGAATTGCAGACCTTCTTCTTTTTCTTTGCAACAAAAATATAGATCCTCATGCTATTTAATTTATATTTTGTATTATTTCATTGAAACGTGATCGTTGTTATTATTCATAAAGTATTCGAGGTACTGTTTTTCAATTTTTCTTCGTTAGTGGAGTTCATCGTTTGTTTCTCCAGAAAATAAATTTGAGATCTGCATGTTATTCAATAATAACAACGGGTCACTGTTTCAGGACTGTAAAAATAAACTGTTTCTGGATTTTAAGTAACACTGTTTCTGGAATTTAAGTCACTGTTTCTGGATCCAAATGAAATAGACACATTGTTTCTTAAATGTAAGCTAGAAAAGAAATAGTGAAATTCATTGTATTTGGATTCAAAGCAAAATAAGCATCATGTTTCTTAAATATAATCAACCAATGTATGAAAGAAAAGAAACAATCAAAAGTTAAAACATAGATTGTTTCTGGAATCTAAGTCAATGTTTCTAGAATTTAAGTCACTGTTTCTGGATTTTGGTTCTTTTCTTTCCAAATACAGTGTTTGTTTGTGCACAGAAAAAATAAACACTGTATCTAATTTTTTTTCTTCCAAAAACAGTGTTATATTTTGGGTTCTCTAGAAACAGTTTTATGTTTTAGTTCTTATTTTTTTCCGTCCTATTTACAGACGCTTGACATGTACGTATATCACTAGGACCGTAGGTCCTTTTTGGATCTGATTGGAATAAAATACTAACACTATAAATTGTTCGTGGTGCAGATAAAAGGATGAGGACGAGGACGATGACGAGAAAGAGGTAGGCAATAGTTTTGGATATTTTTTATTAAACTTTGAGCCATTTTATTTAAATAATATTTTAAGATGATTTTGGGATAAATATTTGTTGGTTCAAACCTTTTTCATTAAAACTCTCAGTAAAGAAGATTATGCTTTCCTATTGGAAGGTTTGAATCCATCATTTATTGTTTGAACATAAACAATTATCGTAGCAAACGCCATTATTGAGTTTGGGTTCTGTGAATAATAACTTATTCTCTAGGGAACTGAGAACACGATCATCATAACTCATGAAATGATGAAATGTTTGACCAACTTATGTTATGTAACAATAGCATTGGAAACTCATAATTTTGTTGTTGATAAATTATAACAGATGATACCTGCGTATTCACTTTTTGCTTTTGTTTAATGATAAACTAGTACAGGTTTTATTACTTTAAAAAATAATAAACATGTCATTAATTTTTCTTGGATTTCAAAAAAACAAAAAACACATGATATTTTTTTTATTAGACCAAATCAGAAGATAAGTAGATAAATTATTCACTAGTGAGTACCTAAGTATTACCATCATATAACCCATTACTGGTTTTAGTGCTTGATTATATTTTCTAATATGTATTAGAACATCTCTAATGCAGAAGAAAATTTGAAATCAAATATGATATTTGAGTCTAATATGAGTTCAAGCCTCTGTTCGGCTATTCAAAGTTGGGTTTTACTGTAAAAGTTGAGTCCACCTCATGCTGTTAAGAAAAATGTTATTAAACCGCGAAAATTTATGAATTTAATTAATATGCTTATACCCAAATTGCTAAAACTCAAAATTTGAGTATTGACTTCGATGCCTCTTCTCCGATACAAAGATTCTCAAATTTAAGAACTCTAATTATATGCAAATGATTTTAAGAATATAAAACTCAACACTTTTTGGACAAATATAAGTATAGATTTGAAGTTTAGAGATTGGACGGGTTGGCTAGGGTTTGTATACGCTGCAACCGGAACATCGACGTTTTAAGTGTGTATTGACTATGCACTTTGCGTCATGTAATGTCGTGTGTCTGATAAAAGTGATGTGGTGTACTCATCACTTGCATTCAAGTTTGAATTATCTTCCCCAAAAATTAGTCATTTAGAATATCAATCATATAAATTTATGTGCTCGAAATGCACCTTAGCTACTAGTCACCTATCTAAATGAAATCTTGTTTAAAATGGAACCATAATCACTTCATATTTACCCAAATGTAAGCTACAAACAAAAGCCACCATGTGCTCCAATTATTGGGGCAAACTATTCATACACTATATTATCCTTTTTCTGTAACAACTTTTAAGACTATCACCTTTTTCCACTATCTTAAAGTTGGAAAAGGTACTCGTCGGATTTTTTTTTCTAAGGATCCAAGAGATCATGTGATTCTAATTGTTCATAGTATATCGTGCAGTCAAAAATCATTTTAAATTTTAAATTTTAAATTAAACATAAATAGTACCTAACGAAAATTGATCGCATGATCTACGATGGACGATCATGATTACAGGATTCTTGAATCCCCAAGAACAGGATCCGGCGAGATCCTTTCCCCTTAAGTTATCAGAATTCAGGCACCGGCATAAGTTGGTCACTTTGTACTTCTGTTTTCGGCTGTTCACATTGACTTCTCCATTCTATTTTACTTTTGATTAATTTTCATGCTGTACTTCTCACAACTTCATGGAAAAGCGTGAGACGTATGAAATATAGAGTTGTCTATCTTCACAGTTAAAAGTTCAGTGTGATTCTAATTTATTCTTACTCTTTTTCTCTGATTGGAAATGACGCTATTGATTTGAAATACCTTGTGATATCTGTTGGATCTCATGCATGGATAAGTCTCTCTTGTGTGGCCGTCCAAACTGCAATGTTTTAATTTTTTAGGCCGCATATAAATCGCTAAGACCATTTGATATAGCTTCAGAGGTTCTCTCTCTTTTTGTGGATGAAGAAAAATTGTGCTTCTTTCACCTTTTGTTTCATGTTGTCAAATGCATACTTCTCCACCAGAGACTTTCCACAAAATCAAAGTGCCCTAAACGATGGGATAAATGTTTGATATAATTCAACCCTATAAGAATGATTTTCTAGAGTATGACGGATAACTATTTCACTTCTAGGTTTTATTTTGTAGAGATCGAGATTTTTTTTTTTTATAGAGGACCGAAACAATCCAGTGTTTCCAACTAAAAAAAGGGTATCACTTACATCCAATGTATTAAAAGGCAGAGACATTGGCGAGGTGTTCCATGGATAGCCCTGCCTAGAAGTGAGACAAAGCCTCACGGGACCTCAATAATTTAATATATATTGTATATATAATTATATATTGAGATTAGAATACTAAAAAACTTGAATTTTGAAACAAATTATGGTGGTTTGGAGAATTTTGAACAAATTGAGGTATGAGATTGGAGTAAAATTGAAATATAGGATTGGGATTGAGAATTTAGGGTTTGAGGAATTGGGGAATAGTGGAATTGGGGATTGGGTGAAATATAGCAGAGAGAATCAGGTATTGGTTGGTGAAATATACAGAGAAAATGGGATATTGGGTGGTTAAAATAAGAATTGGCAAAGAATAAGGACTGTAGTGATTATAAAAAAAAATTAGA